AGGAACCCATCTATTGAAATTTCAATTAAAAGACCATGTAACAAAAAATAACCAAAAGGCTGGGATGATAAACACACACACACACACACACACACACACACACACACACACACACACTCCTTTTCTCTTTTTCAGAGACCTTTAATCACCTACATTGAAATGGAAGCTGCCTTCAGTTCAGGAGAAGAGAAAGGGCAGTGGTGTAATGGGCTGACTTCCATCAAATAACCAGAAAAGGCTAGTGAGTGCTATTACTAAGGGCTGTGTTTTAAATGGTTCTGTGGAGGCTGCTTCTGCTCGGAAATCTGTCACCACGCCTTCCATTCCATCACGATTAAGACTTCTGCGGGTTAAGTGTTGTCAACACTGGGGGTTCTTTTTGCCCCTGATTCAATAATTCCCATTTGTTGGACACATATATTTGCCATATTATGTAGCAGGTACTTTGTACTGATTACAATCATCACAATAACCTAGCAAAGGTGAATACCTTTTCCTTTGATGAACAAAGAGCAGGAAATTGAAGGTTGGGGAAAATTAAGCAGTTTGCTCAAAACCGCACCAATAGTTTCAGACAGAGCCAAGATTTTAACCCAGGTCTGCCTGACTTCAGTGCTTTCCCTTTTTTTCCCCTTTTCCTCCGACTGCCTCTCTAAAAACAAAACAGCCCACGCTGGGGGCAGCTTGATTTTGAGCAAATGGGGTGGTGGCAGTGTCTCATCTGCTTCCCTCCCTGGTGACTGACTCAGCCTTGGGTCTCAGTCAATGTTTGTGAAAGAAAGATGTTGCTTTCTAATGAAGCTGACGGGGAACTCGCCATGCACCAGATGTCCTGGATGGGAACACCTCTTTGCATGAATGGGTGGATCGGATCATATGCCTGAAAGACAAACCTGACAAAAACACTTCCAGAAGCTGATACCACCTTCAGATGTTGTAAAAGGCTTCTGAAGGCCTTGGCTCAGCTGGGAGCCTCCATTCCAAGGATAAAAAATGTTGACTGCTTACTTTGTCCTCAAGAGATGGAGAAATCAAGCTTCTGCAAGCATGCTGGTCAGGAGACCTCCACTCTGCCATGAACTTCTGAATGACTTGAGCAAGTCCCTGACCCTCTCTGAATCCCAGCATCATCTGCTATAGAAAAAGGGAGTTAAACTGGATGGTCTGCATGGTTCTTTCCAGCCTGGACCTCTCTGCTCTTTGAATCCCCAACTGGCCCCTGCAGGAGAAACTTCACATGTTTCTTAGGAGGACAGATGGAGAAGCCAGTGTCATAAGTTTATACACCCCCCCCCAATTTTAAGGGGCACTCAGGGCTGTGCAAAGCAGGGTTGACACCCTCGGATGAATGCCTCCTTCGATTTTGTGCCAGAGCCTCCTCAATCACCTCCCTGAGTCCCAGCCCCGCTTGGCACAGTGCCCAGAAAAGCTCTGCTCAGCCCTCACTTGTGGCACATATCCCTGTCACTGGCTCACTTCTGTCATCCTAGGTCATTGGTGTCTGTTATCATCCAAAGGTTTGTGTCTCCCCAAATTCATATGGTGAAGCCCCTAACACCCAACATGATGGTATGTGGAGGTGGGGCCTTTGGGAGGTAATCAGGGTTAGATGAGGTCATGAAGCAGGGACCTTGTGATGGGATTATAGGGAGCGGAGGAGAGGTAGATCTCGCACTCTCTACAAACACACACTGCAGAAAGGCCATGTGAGGTCACAGACAGAAGTCAAGAAGTTGGTCTTCCACAAGCAGGAAGAGAACTCTCACCAGGAACCAATTCAGTGGTACCTCGATGTTGGACTTCCCAGCCTCCGGAGCTGTGAGAAATAAGGTTCTGTTGTTCAAGCCACCAGTCTATGATATTTTTGTTATGACAGCCCCAGCAGACTAAGACAGTATGATCCTCTCCTCAGTCTTTAGAGACAATGTGAAAACTGGTTCTGGATCTCATCCACATATGGGGGACCCAGCATTGGATTCCTCATTTCTGATGTTGAGAGAATGAAACCAATTTGTTAGAAAACTCCAAGGGACAGAGATGGCAGCTTCTTTTGCTCATTATCCCCAACACTGGGCACAATGCCTGGCATATAATTGGTGCTCAGTAAATCACTGCAATGAATGAAATGCAATATCTTGATTCCAGGAACTTCTTTCCACCACCACCGCTACTACCCTGGCCCAAGCCACCATCATCTCTATCCTGGATGATCATATCAGTCTCCTAAATAGCCCCCCTGCTATCACTCTTGCCTGTTCCCTATAGATTTTTCTCAATGGAGTAGCCAGAGTGATCCTTTTAAAAGTAAGTTAGATGACATCAGTCCTCAGGTCAGAATGCCCTTGTGGCTTCTTGCTGAGCTCAGGCTGAAAGCCAATGTTCTTACAATGTCTCTCTGGTCCCTCTCTGACCCCAGCTCCTAATATTTGCCTAGTATCCAGTGAAGCCCACGGATGTTCTCCTATGTGATCTTCCTCAAATGTGCGAGGCACAATCTGCTCTCAAAGCCTTTGTCCCTGCCATTCCCTCAGCCTGGACTCCACTTTCCCCAGATATCCACAAAGCATGCTTTGCTTCCTCACCTCCCCAATCATGCCTACGTTGAACACCCTACTTAAATTTGCAATCACCCCTCTCCTTTTCATTCACAGCCCACTCTTCCTGCAGCCTCTTTATTAAAAAAATCATCTTCTGACATAGGATACAATTTATTTGTTATTACATATACTCTAATTATCTGTTTGTCCCCTGGCCCCACTAGAATGTGAGCACCATGATGATCACGGTTTTTAACTATTCTGCTCATTCTGTCAGTGCCTGACATCCTGCTTGAATTAAGATAATTGAGAAATAAATACCAGTTGAATGTTAAATGAACAAACACACGAATGAATGAATAAATTCCAAAACCATTCTTTAACTCAGATGTCAAAGTATTAAATTAATCTACGAGACCAACCAGGGGTTGGCAAATTTTTCCTGTAAAGGCCCAGTTGATAAATATTTAAGGTTTTGCAAGCCACAGAGTCATGACTTCTCAACCATGTTACTGTAGCTAAACTAATGAGCATGGCTGTATTTCAATAAAACTTTATGAAAAACAGCAGTTTTCCTGTGGAATATAGGTTGCAGACCCCTAAACCAGAGTAAGCTCCATCAGCACATAGCACCACACCTAGCACAGCCCCGTCACTCAATAAATAATTTGGAGTGACATATATATGAAATGTAGTTCTACTCTTCACTCTGTCACAACACTGTCCAAGTGAACTTGCTGTACTGGAAATGTTCTACATCTACACTCTCCAATATGGCAGCCACTAGCCACATGTGGCTAATGGACACTTGAAATGTGATGTGAATTAATTTACCTGTTAATTTAAATAGCCACATATGGCTAGTAGGTACCATACTGGACACAGTAGCTCAATCACAAACATTGTTTTGCTTCATGCTCCAAGTCTAGCCCCTCTCCGTCTACGAAGCCCTACCCAACTGCTAAGGTTCATAGTAACATTTTTTTTAATCCTATGATTCTCATTTCATTCAATTCATGCTTTGACTAGAGCTATAACAATACTTAATATTCATTGAGCTTTGTGTACCAGGTATTGTGCTAAATGCTTAATATGTTTTATCCAGTTTAATGCTGGGCAGAGCATTGGTCTTCAACGCATATTTGAATACTCATTCAAAGTTGGAGAGCACTCAGAAAATCTAATGTACAGCTGATCCTTGAACAACATGAGGGATGGGATGCCAGCCCCCAGGCACAGTTGAAAATCCATGTATAATTTTTGACTTTCCAAAAACTTAATTCTGGAAAGCCTTACTGATTAAACATAAATAGTCAATTAACACATATTTTGCATGTTATATGTATTATATACTGTATTCTTACAATAAATGAGAGAAAAGAAAATGTTATTAAGAAAATTGTAAGAAAGAAAATACACCTACCATATCGCGTTTCTCAAAAAAATTCTGCATGTAAGCAGACCTGCACAGTTCAAACCTGTGCTGTTCAAGGGTCAACTGTAATTTCCTTTTGTTTTATAAATAAAGAAACTGAGGCCCAGAGAACAAAGTGACATGTCAAAGGTCACACTATTAGTCAAAACTGCAAATCTAGTAGTGAAGCCCCTGGAATTTGTCTCTAAACCCAATGTTTCTTCTTTCATTCACTCATTCCATCATTCATTATTAAACATTGACAGCATACTAGACAATTTGCTGGGCTTGGGGTTAAACAGTACATACCACAGGTGCGATCTTTGCCTTTATATAGCATACAGTCTTTCGGAGAGCGAGGACTTGAACACAGAATCACACAAACAAACATATAATTAGACATTGTGATTCTGTACTGATAGCACAGATTAGGGGTTAAGAGGATACACTCTCAAGCCCAAGTTCTAGGATTCTAATCTAGACTCTACCACTTCCTAGATGTGTGGCTTTGGGAAAATCCATTAACTTAGGTGATTCAGGTAATAATAGGGTATTACACCAATTCTAAGACACACAGTTTTCCACATTTTCACACCCTTGAAATGAGGATTTGTGTGTTATTAATATCTTAATGGGTTTTTTTCTTAGTGATATGTAAAATATTGGCACATGTATCTGACTGTGTCTTGCTTCAGTTAAAATATGACTGTATCTACCCTCTAAGGCTATTGAAGGGATTAAATGATATATATGAAATCCATAGAGACATATTTTGTACTGTACAATGGACATCATTATTATTTTGTTATCATTATTTACTCCAAAGGAAAATAAAGTGTACTAATATTGCATAAAACATAGGGAATAACTGAGTCTAGAAGGTCAGCAAAAACCTTGAGGATGAGACATTTAAGCTGGACCATGAAGGATAAGGAGAAGGGAGGAAAGGGAGGAATAAGGCTTATAAGGAGTGAAAGTGGGTGGAAAGCAGACTGTTGCATACAGAGGGAACAGCATCTGTGAAGACCCTGTCACAGTGGCTGCTGGAAATGACTGACCATTATCCAGTTGGACCACTTCACAACATGGCTTTGTATCCTATGAACACTCCCAGCCCCCACCTCTACTTTTCAATTAGCAATAATCACGCCTCGGATAAACCTCACTGGCTACGATACTGCCACCGCACCAAGCTCCCCACCCCTACTTTTACCATCATCTTCCTTTTCTATGCTTTTGTTTCTTGATAGTTCACTGGTCATAAAGTATTACAGATATATTTAGAAGTTTCTGAATCTTTTTAAATAGTAGGACAGCTACCATTTATAGAGAAACTGATCTATCTTTGTAATACGCTTGTTGAATAAAATTAAATATAGTCCCTAATTTAAATGCCAGTAAATTATATTTTTGACGATGAAGCTAGTCTTAAAAGTGGAGAGCTTCCTTTCTTTTTGGCATATTCATCCCAGAGGTCATAATCAGAGATACCTCAAGTTATCTTCCCTTTTAGAACTTTACCAGATGACACTTGTGATCTCTCACAACCTTTCTTTCAAGTTCAGCAGCAAACGTTACCTTGAACTTTCAGTGAGGCTGGCAAGCTCCCAGTAAGAAAACATTTTCAGTCTCTTTTGCAGCCCATTCTAACCTTCTTGTCCTTCCAAATTTGTGAACAGTCAGTCCTGCTGCTTTCTGTTGTGGGCTTTCTGAGATTTTATGACCTCATCTTTGACACAGATTGTCCTTCAAAAGACCTCAACCCTCTTCTACAACATAATATTTTACAACACATCTAGACCAAATATAGCAAGACTCCTGAACAGAGATATAAAATGGTTTCCCTACAACTCATAAATGCTGTCACAGTTCCAACCCTGACTTCTGCCTATCTCCCTTGTCCCCAATCCAATTGGGTCCTTTTATTTTTTCAAGCCAACTTATTCTAAATTCTTTGCCCAAAGGATTCATGCCTACCTCTGAGAATTCTTTGCAAATACCTATTAAAGAGAGAATGCCAGAATGCCTCTCTCCTCTCAATGCTAAGCAAACTTCTCAAACACAGACTCCTCAAATAGTAGTTTCTTACTCAGTCTGGGTCCAAATCCCAGCTGTTATACTTAGTAAATATATGGCCTTGGGAATTTCATTCAACCAACTTTAAGACATACTTTCTTGTATGGAAAGTGGAAGCAACCATAACTACATAGATGTGTTGTTATGAAGCCCAAGATAGTTACAGAAAGCCGCAGCAATTATGGGTGGTACACAATAAGTGCATAATAAATTGCAGATGTTGTCATTGTTACCCCAGTATTCACGGACCCCTTGATATGGTACCAAAACTCCACCATGCCTCTCTTAACTGTAAGTTATCTCTGGCCATTGTCTAACACCCCCATCTATAATATATCGGCAATGAACCTGCATCAAATGGATCAATCTGATGAGATAAATGGGATTTTATGGTTAACATTCATTTCATGGCCTTCAAACAGAAAAAAAAACTTGGTTTGTTGTTTGAATGGCTTCTGTTGGAAATATTTCTTGTTTAAGTTTGATTTCATTATCTCACATGTCTGAATAATGAGGCACAGGGTTCATTAATTGACAGTAAGTTTAGATGAGTTTTGTTTAATTCGGGTTCTAGTAAAGTTCTGGACCAAGGAATGGTAATGTAGATATCATTATGAATTCTGAGGATAAGAGTGACTCACTTCATGGAGGTTTGATTTCCCTAGTTGAGGCCCACCGGAGAAAGAACATAGTTGGACACACTAATCCTAAACTGGTAAAGGATAGAGCTTACTTTATTTGAGTTCAAAAAAAACTAGTGGTACCCATCTCAAAGGAGAAGTTGACTTTCAAAAGAGAGCTGTACCAAGTAAAAGTTTAGCAAAAACCCTTAGCCAAAATACCACTGTCAACACCCAGAGAGCTATCCATGGTCCTGATAGCAGAACCATGCACACAACGCATTGACCAAGCCCTGACATTTCACCAAATGAAACTTGCTTCTCTCTCTTTTGTTCGTTCGTTCACTCAGTCATTCATTCATTCACTCATTCATTCATTCATTCATTCGTCCAAGAAAAGATGTATTGATTCAGGAACTGTTTCAGTGACTGAGCTACAGCAATAAACATGATGAGCATAGGACAAGTTTTAATAAAACTTTTCACATACACAAATCTCTTCTCTCTGGTCTGCCAGGAAGTTGGCTCTCTATAGATAAATCTCAATTTACTTAACTGGGTACTAATTTACTTAGATCCTATATATCTGGTACCTTGAAACACCCATGCTACAATCTCCTTCAAGGCAGGGACATTCTCCATCTCTGTGAATTCTTGAATTTACAACTTCATAAAGTCCTTGTGTTCCATTAAACTTTAATAATACAAGGCTTAGTAAATAACAGGAGTAATCTATAAACATTAGAAATATTTAGTACAATATAAGACATATATATGATATAACTACACTCAGTGTATTCTCATTTGATATCTTATTGCAAATGAAAAGTGGCTGCTGAAGACATGAAAATAAACTGAATATGATGGGGAACATGGCTGAAGTTCATATCAGTTTGAAAAGAAAATTCAATCTGCTTTAACTGCCATTTACAAATTGTTTCAATCATACTTGCGCTTTAAGTTATTTGTGCTCAAAAGGTCATAGAAACATGAATTTTGAGCCCAGAAGTATCTTAAGAATTATTTAGGGTTGTAATTCATATCTTGCCACTAATTTACTGAGCGACACTGGGCAACTTGCTTAGCCTCAGTGGCCTTCAGTCTCCTCATTAGATCTGACAAGATGATCGCTAGGGGTCTTTCTTGCATTAAAAGTTGTTTCCACTAATTTCTTTGTTGGAGAGAATGAATATGAAGTTCACAGCATAGGCCATACTCAAGGTCAAATGACAAATTTGTGGCCAAGCTGGCACCAGGATTGAGAGCCTGGGACTTTTCCCATTGCACTAGTTTCAAAGTCACACAAGGACTACATGAAAGGCCAGCGGATAGCAATGTCCAGGTTATGGTAAGTTTCTCTGATAGGTGGTCAGCTCCCAGAGGTCAGGGACAACATCCTATATTCTTCTTAAATAATTAACCCAGTGCACAATGCTGGATTAGAGGTGTCTCATGAAATATTTATTAAATTAATTGAAAAATACATTGAGTTAATTACATGAAGGCCCTAGGGACTGCATAACTGATTATAGAATTAACAGCAGACACAATGTTTTGAGTGCTCACCATACATTAGGTACTGTGCTGAATGTATTTGAAATGTGATTTTTCATCTCATTCTCACAGCACCCTGCCAAAGAAGACTTACTCTCATTTTTTCATATATATAAAAAATCAGGCTTGACTATATTAAATGACTTTCTCAAAGTCCTACTAGCAGTAAACAGAAAAGCAAAGATCTGAACCTGGTCTGACTCAAAAGGTTATTCCAATTCTACTCTGGTTCACTAAATGCTTGAATGAATAAATAAAGAGATGAATGACTTAGTGACTAAACGCATTAGTGTTCTGCCATTACTTGCTTTGTGTGGTTTGAAGCCATATTGTCAAAGATTTTGTATACAGAATTTAACATGATACCACACATGTGCAGAGCTTTAGTAAAGCTGTTTCACCATAGGATTTACCAATGGTGACATTTTGAAGAGCCAAAGTCTGATCATTTAAACATTCTGGTGCTGCATTATATGGGACTAGAGGAAGAAGTTCTTGAATATTCGCTTCTGTCCTCAGAGATGAAGTGTGATGGTAGTAGCCTACTCTGGAAAGGAGCACAACACCACCCTCTGGCAACATTTTCAGGCCTTCTCTATGCCTTCAGTGAAGCCCTTCCTTGCCTTGGTCCTGTATTGGTTTGTTCTCATCCCATTCACCATTATGAAGGTAAATGTTTAATGACTGGCTTTCCAAAGAAAATCAGCCATGATTTGTAACATTAACCAATTTTGTTGATATAAATACTTTCATCATAGCCAATTTTCAAGCTATTTACATGACATAACCAAACCAAGAGTTAGGAAGAGAGGATAACAATCAACTCTCACGAGTCTCATGAGCTGTCATATAGGCCAGCTCCAGCACACCATGTATCCAATTCCATAATCATCCCTATGGGTGGTACTAATTGTTGAAATCCCCGGAAGAACATACTTGAGCTGGGCTATGGCACACGGCCAAGAAAACTTGGTCAAGTTCATCCATGCATCATGGCAATTATATATTCTTCAGCAGCACCACATCCCGACTTTTCTCCTTCTTCTTGGTCAGTTTAGAGGAATGATCCTTCTCTGATCACTGACACATCCCCTAAAGCTTTAAGACATGATGAGCAATGTTGGGACTCTATGACTTTGTTCAGTCCAATGGATCCCGTCACAGAAGGAGGAGCTTACTGAAGGGAAGCAAAGCCACTTTTGACAGATCTCAGGCCTGAGTGTGTACAGGGGTTGGGGGTTTAGTTTTTCCATGACTTCCCCCATAGTCTAATTCCCAATGAGAGGCAAAGGAGGGGAGGCCCAGCTATTCCCTTGGACAGTCAGTTGTTCCCCCAAACAATTGGATAGATGTGGAAGGTAGTTTCCCTTTTCCAGCGACCAATATAGTCTTACTAAATCCCTTAGTGGCTCTCACAATCTTCAGATCTTTATCTCTCTGTGAGTTCTCTTCATCTTACCTTTCCAACTTCATCACCTGCCTCTTCCCTAGTTCTCCTCCACCACCTCATGTGCAGCACATTCTCTAGATGTCAGCCCAGCTATACTGCTTTCTGGTTCTTGGAATAATTCTAAACTTTCTTCCTCTTGATTTCAATCATTAAGATCCCTCTGTGAAAGGACCCATCCCACTCATCCTCCCCACTGATTCTACCAGGTTCAGCTAAAAGGTCAGGCACTTCATGATGTATCTTCTGAAATCCCTATCCAGAATACATTTCTCTTTTCTCCAGGCATGAGCTACTTTTTTAATGTCTGTTCTTGATTTATCCCACATTGTGTCTTTTATAATAGCTATATATGAGCATATTATTTTTATCCCTGTGAAAATGTGAAATCCATGAAGGCAGGAACATTGTCCAATTTGTCTGTGATTTCCCATAGCACTTAACACACAAGACTTATGAGTTGTGGAATTAAGAAAATCTTGCTTGAATTGAATTTAA